CTTCACCCACCCACTCTTTTGGCATAGAGAGGGGTACCCGAACGAAAAGAAAACGTACGCCCTTGATAGAAATAATGCACATGACACTGCTGTGCACTGAGACTTTATGTAAAGATGTTCATCTCTATGTTATGTCACGTTTCTTGTTTTTATCATTTTTATATTAGAATAAAATGAAAATGGCTTTATAGATATCCTGCAAAAAATTATTAATATAAAAGTACAAAATATTATCTCTAAATGTGTATACTTTATAGTTATTAGCTTTCGATTGAAAAAAAAAACATGACTAAATAATGGACCTATAATTAATTTTCTACATTTTGGAGTGTGTGAAATACTCCAAAGATAGCCCACTCAAGTCTGAAGACTTACTTCCAGCTGGTCCTCCTGGTGGTGAATTGGGCATCAGGGGCGGATCCAGTAGGGGCAACGGGGGGGGGGAACGTGCCCCCCCCGTTTTTCCACTAAATTTTAAAATTTCAAGGCATATATTTAAATTAGCGCTCTCACTTAACCATTCTGAATATGTTGTGCCCCCTCCCCCCACCCCGTTTGAAAAATTCTGGATCCGCCCCTGGCAGTATGACGGGAGACAAACTGTTAACAAGAGCGAGCAGTCACATGGGCATAATAATTATTAACTGAAAGAATTGAACAGGGACCAAGGTTATGTAAATCAGTGGCGGATCCAAGAATTCAAAATAGAGGGGTCCAGGGAGTACTTTCACAGATGGAGGATCGATACCACCTCAGCACCATCATGACTGGGGCTGTGGTAAGAAGATTTGTGATTATGGCACCTCTAGATCGCCGGAAATTGCACTCTTAGACTTAAAATTTGAATATAATTTTCTTTGTCTCAAATTTTTTTAAATTTTGAACCATGGGAGGGAAGGGTTCGGGCCGGCTTCCCCCCACCCTTGGTTCCGCCAGTGCCGCCACTACAAAAAATTCCACATTTTCTCTGTGGACACCACCTGTTTAGCCGACTAGTGATGTTTGGGAACAAGCATAATGCAATTGTTTAACATTGTAATGAAATCTAAGAAAATCGTAGAAATCATGTAAAGTATTTAATTACTTATAACGAATTAGTTATCGGCTCCATTATATGAGACATAGATCGCTGATCTACTGAATTTCACTTAAAAAAATCATTTTTTGATGTAATGTAATGGGTGTATGCAAAGAATATTGCAGTTATTGATCTCGTCATAATGTCAGTACACAATGATAATTTGTTTCCATGGCTCAAACGAGTATACAAACATTATTAGGCCTATATACATCGTACATAATATGAATTAGGTACATCACCTTGATTACCAGTGTTTCGTTATTGTAATTTGAATACAAATTGAATAAAAAAAAAAGAGTCGTGACATGGAACAAAACAATTGAGAAGAAAAATACCGTAGGTCTACTTATAAGTTAACTTTGATAGTTCATACGTTAGTATTTATTTATTGAACAACCTTTCCGATTGATAGTTTCCTATTGGAAAGGAATCAGTTTAGTGGTTTCCTTTTGAAAAAATAAATCCTTTGTTTTGTTTGTACATTTATGTTCGGCATTTTATTTTATTTTATTTTTTTTTTTTTACAACGAAAATTTTTTTTTTTAATGAGCTTAAAAGGCTGGAATAAGACTATCTTGCTGGACGGTCATGGGCGCAGATCATGAGGGACAGGGGGACACTCCTCCCACATATTCTTTAGGGGGGTTGCTCCCCACTTTTCGAAGGAAATGTGATTATTTAAGTCAAAAAATTCCTAAAAAATTGTTGAATGTCCCAGGTTTTAACGAATGAGACTTGTACAGCCAGAATAGATCTTCTTAAAGCAAGATACCAGCATCTCTCCTCACAAATATCAAAAATTACCTATACACGATTTGAGAGCGCGTGCCTTTATTATAATTTGACAAGTATTAGAAAAAAAAGCGTGTAAAGATATGATTGGTTTTCGGCACATGAAGTAGGTAAAGTAAAGTAAATACATCGAAGACAATTAAGTTTTATTTTCTATGGTACATCACACAGATTATTTTGATCGCTATGATTGCCGAAAATCGCTGATAAAAGATCATGAGAAATTTGTTGGCGCTTCATTTTGACTATAATGGTGATGTGATGATGATGAATTTTTCTATTAAGAGTGTCATTTCCGGCCTTCTAGAGGTACAATTTACCCAAATTTTCGCACTCATGGTGGGGCTGATATGGGTGTAGACTCGCGGCCTTAAAGATGTACTGTCCCTTGCATATCCCAATCATAAAAATCATTTTTGAAATTTACTTGCCCATTTTGAAGTAACAAAAATTATCCACTTGAACATAGAAATTATTATTTAAAAAATGCTTACCCATAAAAACCATCATTTTACAGCGAAAAAAATGATAGAAACACTTCCAGTCACTGGAAGTGTTTTATTATCTTTATTATAATTACCCAGTGAAAAAATCAGGGAACACACTTTTTTAATTTAATAATTTCTATGCTCAAGTTAATAATTTGTATGTTACAGTACTACAAAATGAGCAAGTTAATTTAAAAAATATTTTTTATGATTTTGGTCATTTTCAAGGGGCAGTACATCTTTAAGTAGGTAAAGCAAAGTAAATACATAAAATACTATAATGGTGATGTGATGATGATGAATTTTACTATATAACAGTGTCATTCCGTCCATCTAGAGGTACTATTTTCTCAAATTTTCGCACCTTAGCCCCAACCATGGTAGGGCTGAGGCGGACCTGGATTCATGGTTTGAAGTAGGTAAAGCATATCAAAGATGTATCAAAGTTAATTTACTATGGTACATCATACATAATATTAATTAGATCTCTGTGGTTGCCGAAATTCCTTGATAAAATTTCATGAGAAATTTGTTGTTGCATCATTTTAACTATAAGGGTGATGTATGTGATGATGATGAATTTTACCAAGAGTGTCATTTTCGGTCCACTTAGAGAGTACTATTTCCTTAAATTTTTGCACCTCAGATAGGTGGGGCTGAGGTGGGTTTTGTCTCACAGAATATCCCACCCCACCCCCCCCCCACACCTTTCAAAACAGATCTGCACCCTTGTGGAGGTAGATGTTGCGACAGTGTTAAAATGGTCTTTGTTGTATCTTTGTGTATTTTCTACTTTTTAGGCATCAACAATTTTCTTTTTCTGGGGAGAGGGGGGTTTCCTACTGACCTACCAATTTTTTTTTACAAAACAGCAGTATGTATACAGTATAACTCCAAAGCCCACAAAGTCGTCTTTTCTTAGTAAGGTGATTTGGTGGGTGGGTGGGTGTACAGACAGGATAAACTACATAATACAAAAAATATAGATTTCTACACTATCCTAATTAATATACAGTTACTTCAAATGTGGTACAGTACATTTCTAATTGGTGAAAAATATATACAATGTAAATCAAATTAAGACCAAACCAAAACAAAAGTAAACTAAATATACCCAAATGCTTTTACATATAAATTATTGGTAAATATGAAAATGTTAAAGGTTAATGATTTGACTGTCAGGGAAACAGTGTCAAAGGTTGACAAGTCAACTGACATTGTTGACCTTGCAGGTTGACCTTACTCGTTACTGGCTATCTACGAATTTACTAGTGCAGTCAAAGACTCGATCATTTCCTTTGCGATTAACTAGAATGCATAACTAAATTGACTTAACTTATAATGCACGATTAACTAAGCTATGACAGTAAATCAGCTGGAAGTTTATTCAAAATCACCTCTATTTATTAAAGTGTCTATGAAAAATAGTACTTTGAAACAGAATGTTAAAATAATATTGCCCCAATTAGTAAATGCTAACATACAACAATGGTTCCCTGCAAACTCTGAACCTGGCTGGTGGCGAGAAGGAAGATTTTAGTGAATGGATGAAAAGGGATGAAGAGTGGAAACAAGACAATGGTGCTGATGGCAACGATCATAAGTAAGATGAGGATGATGAGGAGAATGAAGCTGATAAGATGAAGATGATGATGATTTGATGATGATGATGACATGATGTTGATGATATAACAATGATTATGATGATAATGAAAATAATGATGCAGCTGATGATGATGCTGATATGATGACGTAATTGATATGGTGCTGACACAACATCATGATGATGAGGTTAATGATATGGTGATGATAATGATCATGTTGAAAACGTGATGGTTATGTTATTATGATGATGTTGATGTGATGAAGATGATGTTGATACGATGAAAATATGACAATGATAAATTTTAGATAAATTTGAAACATAATGCTACATTGACATAATGAATCATATTAATGATCATGATACACTTATAACAAACAAAATATTACAAACCAAAATATTATTACCTGATACTAATATCTTTGGAACAATGCTCTAAAGTTTATAACAATAATGAAAAAAATATAATATATATTGATATATATATGTATACACATGTATATATAAAAAATCCAATAGTCAACATAAAGATTTATTCTATAAAATTCAGGTAGAATAAAAATCATAGCAATGCTCTTAGCAGCATATAAAATAATATTATTTCATATTTTTGTAATGTTTACTAATGACTATGTTACAATTATTATTACCTTCACTTGTTGCCATGGTTATTAGCTAATGTAATTCGTTATAACTATCATTAAATTGGACAGAAAGTTTTAATTAAATATATCCATTTAAAATGTATTACTGTATTCAAATCAAATCATTGCCTTAGATAAATTGACAAATCCTATTATTATAAATGCTTATTTTAAAGAAACACACACCCACACACACACACACACACACACTAGATGTGTATAAGAGACAGGTTCATCTCTATGTTATGTCACGTTTCTTGTTTTTATCATTTTTATATTAGAATAAAATGAAAATGGCTTTATAGATATCCTGCAAAAAATTATTAATATAAAAGTACAAAATATTATCTCTAAATTATTCTGCATTTCATTGTTAATTTCTTCTTTAGAAAAAAGATTGCCATAATTACATATCTAAAGTGATGGATATAATTTAGACACATAATAGTGCCCAGATAATAACCAGATTGTCTAAAGACACTTATCCCTAATAACCAGATTAAATAATAACTTTACTGTATTAGTAAACACGGCCTAACCATATTTTACCCTAAGTATATATTTTTTAACCTAAATTGTAAAGGGTACACTTACAAAATGCACTTAATTAACTATCGTAAAATACAAATGTGTATATGCAGTTTATGCTTTACAAATACATCAACAACTTCTTCTTCTCAAATATAAAGTTTCATTTGTATCTGAGAATCACTGTTAAATTATTTCATGTCAACATTTGGTGCTTCCTACCCAACTCCTTTAATATTTTTTATTTATAAAACAATCATTTAATATCTTTCTTCATATGCAATAACATTGTTACAAACATCCTTTAATACAAACTTTACTTGTCTATGTACCAGACAAACACAAAACGTATGTGTCTATGTACAAATACAAACTGTGTTATTAGGTGTATCTCACAAACACACAGTGTTTCTTTGTAAAAAGTAGTTATGGAAAACCAATGTTACTCGTTTACATTTTTATAAATTCTGAACTTCAACATAATTGCTTGGGAAGAAACCTGTTCGTCCATCGATGGATCCTTCTAACCAATTCTCATCTATTTTTTGTGTGATGGTAATGATGTCACCTTCTTTGAAGTCCAGCTCACCATCATTCTCTGCCTCAAAATCATAGAGAGCCTTGCAGCACTCTGAAGGACCACCTGCAAATACAGTACAAATTAAACTTTATTTTAACATGTTAAAATGTTAACATTTTTGATACAAATGCTAAAAATATTCATTATGCATATCATCAATAGACCTTCATAATTACTACCTTCATCATCATTAATGTCAACATGACCACTACCTTCATCATTAATATCAAATATTTCCTTATATTAAACTCTATATCCTCTAAATAGCCTGGAATGTTCCTCCTAATGTTTTTGGATTTTTAATCAATCCATCCACCTGTCCATCTATCATGTTTTTTCTTATCTTTTAAATATCTAATTTATATTATATTCAAATGTTTATAAATGGATATTTGTTTATATTCATTTAAATATCTGTCTAAAATTCCAACATATATCCTTTACACTGAATTACTATACTGCACATTATCTTTATTTTCCAATATTATAATTAGTAATGAAATTTAATCTCATAATTTCTGTGCATCATGTTTGTGATAAATTTCCCACCTCAATCATTGCATAATTATGCAATATTTGTTTGAATTATAAAGTGCCTCAGCATGATGGAGGCTAACAGCAATCAAGAAGACTTAGGCTGGTGAAGGCTGAAGGCAATCAAGAAGAATAATCAACATGTTTTCATTAAACTACATACACTCAATAATAACCAGCAGATAAACCATTGATACACTGCACAAAATTAATGGCATGCATCACCAAGGCAACCAGCTACATAATACATATCAAACAATATAAATGTTATATATCATATCACTGTACACTGCCTTCAGTCAATTCTAAGAGAATTTGTCAAGGTATGTATTCCCAAATTAATTATTTTAAATTCAATTTCATCACTCTAGTAAGCTACGTTGGTACAACCCAATTTATCTGAACCAAGTTTAGATTAGCTTTCACAAACTGCTTTTTACTTTTCCAATTCCTACGTCACAAGTCTTCATGCATTTTCTCTCCAAACTGACTCTTAACATTCCAAATACTTGTAAATTGATATTAGGTGAACTAGGAAAATTTCTCTACTGGTAAAGGGACTTGGTTGATATGGTGAATTACTACACAGTACAGAGATGATGATGAAATAATATTGATGGTGAAATAACATTGATGATAGCATTGATAACTATAGCATTGGTAACAATATAGGTGATGGCGTTGATAATAACAAAGGTGACACTGACAATGATATTAATAATGACGATGATGATAACAACAAAGATGATGATATTTTATAGTGCACATACACAGCATAGTAGTCACTATCTACTTGGAATCCATGTATGGCTTTGTATGATGATATATGCAAATTTTGTATGGTGCACATGTTTTTTTAAATTTTATTTATTTATTTATTTACCAAAACAACTGCGGACACAAATCCGCCACTTACAGTATGGTTAACAAAGGACGACGACGGAAACAGAAACACAAACAAAATTACTTTTAACTAACCACGCCTAAAACGCTACGACGGAAAATGTGCAGATTGGAGTTAAATATATCTAAAGACGGATAGTCCTGAACTAACTTGTTATATGAGGAACTTAATCTACTAATAAACCCATTTTTTAAAATATTGACTCTACTTAAAGGAACGTAAAGAACATCATTATTTCTTAAAATACGGACAGGAACACGAAGGGCAAAATTAGATACTAATCGCAATCAAAGATAGAAGTCAAACATTTAAAAAGAAATATAAAGTCATTAAAATTTCTACGGGACTGGGGTGATTTAATTGAAAACTTAAAATTAATATTAGTCTGATTGTGACTGATGTAGTGCAAAAACCGGGAATGAAGGCGTTCAATACGTGAAGCCTGAGTTTTTGAGATAGAATTATAAATGACGGAACAAAAATCTAATTTAGGTTGAATAAGTGTAATGTACAGGTATGCTTTAGAATGTGGGTCCAGATATTTACATTTGCGCCACATCAATCCAAGCAACATATTGCATTTCCTAAGAAGATGGTTTATATGAAAAGAAAAAGTAAGGGAGCTATCTAAAATAACTCCAAGATCACGATGTTGCAGCGCCTTATTAATCGGTTTGTCGTCAACTAAATAAATATAATCGATTT